GTATGCACTTAGTCATTTTGTAGCAGAAAATACCTGTCCTCCAGCCAGTTTACTTGTTTGTCAGTTGGCCCCATAATAGTTTCTGCTCCAGTTTCAGTTTTTTTCTGTCTCTTAGAAAAAGCTGGTCACTGTGATGCACATTGTATATGCTAGTCCCCAACTGACAGCCAGTCTGCCTGTGTACTTCCTGCTTGCGTGTCTCATATAAGCTCTCGACCACCTTGATATTCTGGGAATGAACCTGTCAATGCAAATAAATCTGCCTCCAAATCCAGGGTGTCATTTCAGTGCTCCTGTTTGCCATTGCAATTTGCCATTAAAATTTACTTAGGCCCCAAATACAGAGCTCTTGCATATAATACATGTTGCATACAGCCTTGACATATTTTGGAAGAAATAATCTTTCCAAATGAGGTTACTGCAAATCCATAAGGATGATTCAATTAGCAGAATAGTAAGTTCACTTATATTCCTGATATTCTGTGATTCTAATGGAGAGTATTAGTGATTTAGCTAAAATGTTGCAGATAAAACATTCTCAATAGGGATGCTATCCTCAAAGGGGCAGAAATTGGTTCTTTTTGGGGTGGTAAAAAATTTCTCTGCTCCCCTATCCCCTCCTCCTGCTTCTCCTCTTCCCCCTGCCTCCTCTCCCCCTGCTTCTTCTCATTCTTGCTACTCCTCCTCTCTCTCCTCTTTCTTCACCTTGTCTTCGAACTCTCACAAATAGAATATCTGGAATATTACAGTTTCATGGGGGTTGGCCAGTAGGAAGAGAAGGAAGCCTTTTAGAGCTCCTTGTGGGGATAGTGATGGGACAAATGTAAGGAACACTACTGCACTGTAGTGGATTTGATCTCATCCTTAAATAGTTATCTCTCCAGCTTTTCTGCTTAACTAATATGTACTAATGCTACACCCAAGCTGTAACTAGGAAAAATGGGAGTCAACCCTGTGGTCTAGGGATACAAGGAAAGAACCCTGTGTTTGAATAACTGTGGGCTACAACCTCCAGTAGACATTTTAATTACTGCAATTTTAAAATATCAGACTGTTTGATTTCAGAACTACAAAAAGTACTGGTGAGACTGAAAACAGGAGGACCACCACAAGTCTGACCTGCGTAGCTGTTTATTTTTTTCATTGTCCTGCTTAAATCTGTTGAATCATTTTTTCATTTGGTCTATCCAGATGTCATATGTGTGGCCTAGAAAACAGCACTGGGCACAGGAGGCAAAGGGATCTCACAACCAGAGAGGGTAGCATTACTCGTGGGACCAGGTATTAGCTTTCAGAAGTAGACTGTTGGGAAAGTGGGTGTAAATGATGTGGGAAATGCTCATTCATCAAGCCTGGGTTACCTATTTCTCAAACAGCTTAGTGATACTCTGTCTGGATTTTCTATTTCTGCCAAAGCCTCTCACACTAAGTACCTTGAAGGAGACCTTCTGGGCATGTCTCCTGTAGATTCACTGTTCCTCCTGCAAGAGCATCCACCGCCTGCAGAGCCGAGGAGAGGGAGTTTAAGTGGTGAAACTGGTGCACCTACTCCTCAGGGATTGGGGCCCAGAGAAAGACTCGAAGGCCATGCGGGCTTGTCTCTGGATACCCTTTCTGCAAGAGTATGTTTCACATCAGAACACCAACTTCAAGTGTTCATACTGTGAGCATTTATTTTAGGAAGAATGATCGTATCCTTTTACCATTCCCAGGATACTTACATACATAGTGGACATATAACATGAATTAAAGCGCTGAAGTACTTTTTTGTAGTTCTGAAATCAAACAGTCTGATATTTTAAAAATTGCTTAAGTAAATAGCAATACATTCTTTTTACAGGATACTAAAGATTTTTTTTTTTTTTTTTTTTTTTACTGGGAATCAAACTCAGGACCGTTTGCTTGCCAGGAAGGCATTGTGCCACTGAGCTATCTCCCTGACCCAGTTCATTTTTATTTTCACCCAAATGTTTTCCCCTAGATAGTTTCTGAGTATTCTGCTCTGAATACCTATAACCTTGCTAATCATAATCAATTAATGAAAATTATTAAAAATAAAAACATAGTGTTCCCAGTCCATTTTTTTCTACCCCACGTTTACCAATGTTAGTTCCTTAGAGGCAGCCAGCAATAGAAAAAGCTTCTTAATTTTTATTTAACTTAAAAAATAAAACTTACTGCAAACCCACCATCTAGAGACCTTAATTATAGTCTTTTCAATATTATTTTAAACTATGTCACTCATGCATACTCAGTAACTGTATTAGGAGAAATAACTTTCTAATGTTAATATTGTGGGATTAATATACTTCTTTTAAAAATAAACCTCCTAAATACCTTGAGATGAGATAGTAAATAATGGTGAAAGTCTATCACAGGAGGCTAAGTCACTGTAAAAATTATTTATATGACTATTTAAAGGTCCAGAAAAATTTCTTAATATTCACTTAGTAAAAAACTCTGCATAAAATTATGAAACCAGAATAATCTGCCTTTTTTGGTGAAAGGGCATTTATTTTATGAGTCATGATAAAGACAATAAAATATGCACACACATTTGCACACACATAAGTCACAGTAATTGGGCTCACGTGACTCTGGAGGCAGAGAAGTCCCAGGTCTGCTGTAGGTAAGCCAGAGCCCTAGGGGAGTTGGTGGTGTAATTCATTCTAAATTTGAAGACATGAAAATTCAGGGGGCCACTGGCACAATTCCTGAGTCCAAAGGTCCTAAGGACCAGGAGCTCTGATATGCACGGGGAGCAGATGGCTATACCAGCTCAGGAAAGAGACAAAAATCTGTCTTGCATCTCTTTGTTTTTTGTTCTGTTTGTGTTCTCAACTTAGTGGCTGGTGTCCACTCACATGGGAGGGGGTGCCTTGCTTTACTCAGTCTACTGATTCAAATGCTGGTCTCCTAAATGCATTCAGAAGTGCACACACCAAGGCACATCCGGAAATAATGTTTAGCCACCTAGTTAGGCATCCCTAACCTAAACCCAGTCAGGCTGACACATAAATTACTATCACATCTCCTAAAATGTATTTATTATTATATGCCATACAACAAAGTGTATTTTATTACAACATAAGAGACATGTAAGTGACCAGCCAAGAAGTAGCTTTGGCTGACCATTTAGAAAAAAGGCTCCTAGAGAAGAGCATCAGGGAAGCAGAAGAGGGGAGTGTTTCACACTAGGGGTAGGGAAATGTCAAATGCAACTGTAGTTTCAAATAAAATAAGCATGATGATCTATCTGTTGGTTTTGGCAACAACGGAATGAGGGAAGATATAGTCACATATTGGCTTTATTTAAATAGTGCTCACTGTTTAAAATTATTGGACTCAGGCAGCTCCTAAAAATGAAGGAAATTTTCCCTCTTTTCTACAGAAAGATGTTTCATGATATAGAACCAAACAATTTTTTTTACCTGAGAAATATTTTTAATTAGCAATAATGTAGCTCACTTTAGATCATCTTTTTTTTTTTGTCTTGTTCCTGATTTTATTTTATTTCTTTAACTTTTTAAAGTTTCTAATACTAGGAGAAAATATCATACCATGTCTTATAAAAGTGGATTGTAAGTCAACGATACAGTATGAATCATAAAACAAAATTAAAATTAAACAATATTCAGAAAACTAATTGAATATTAATTGATTCAAAATTAAATTAAATATTTCAAAATAATATTCCAAAATTAAAATTAAATTGTAAGTCCAACTGAGAGGCCAGAATGTAGTGTATCATATGTATGAATCTGTGATCAATTCAGAGTACTCACATAGCATTTGAATAGGTTAATATATGCAAAAACATCAACTAAGAAAAAAGTTTCATGATAGTAAAGAATCTAGTATGTGGTGGGCGTGGACAGTGTCCATGATGCTTATGGGTGGCCAGGTGTCCCTTGTGGGACTGAGCTACTGCTATTTATTTGATATCCACCCTGTAGACCCCGACAGAATCATGACCTATAGGGTGCAGCAGAAACCCATTTGTAGAGTATGAAGATGTAAATTTTTTTTTCCAAAAGTTAAAATGTTACATTTATTTTAACACACCTAAATTAAGGATAGAAAGGTGAAACAATACAGTATAATATACAGAGCGTATCAAAGATACAGCCTTTCTAAAAATCATGCTGTAGAAAAGATAAAGAATGACACAATGGAGAATAGGGCAGGTTTGACCAAGAAACTTTCATAATTAATTGATCTTTAACCCTATGCAATTAGGATAATCTCCAAAGGATTTGTCAATACTTTGTTTTTCCTATTTGCAATCCCCTAAAGTAGATAGATTTGCTTGCAATTTTAAGAGCACACAAAAGTTGAGCACAACAATAAGATTAAATCCAGCAATTCAGAGTAAGAAAGGGTAAAAGATCCTGAATAAATGCCTTTGTCAGAAAACCCAAGGTCACTCCCCACACCCAAGGTCACTCCCCATACCCAAGGTCACTCCCCGAGCTCCTCTGGAAAGCAGCAGCTCAGTGCACGACTCGGGGAGCTTGTGATTGCACCTTGTTTTCTCCTCCCCAAGGACAATTTATATGGTGATGTGGTCTTTACAGACAACCTCACCCCCTACATTAAACGTTCTGCAGTACTGTCATTATAAGGCCATATTTCTTTTGGGGAAAAACCCTTTAGTTTTTTATTTGGTTACTTTGAGACAGGATCTCACTGTAGTCAGGCTGGACTCAAACCCACGGCAGTCCTCCTGCCTCAGCCTCCCAAGTGCTGGGATTATGCATGTGTGCCACCCTGCCTGGCAATGCAGTGATTTTAATGTCAATGTTCATTCTCTGAAATAGTGCTTTAACTGAATTGAGGTTAGACATTTTTAAATACTACATACATCATTATTAGTACACTAAAATTATTTATACTATTTATAACTAATATGCAAAGAAAATTTACTACTAAATTCTTACGATAGATATTAGTCTGTCATGCTTTTTAATTGATCCCATAGATATAATTATAGATCAGCGTGATTTTAGTGTCTATTCTTTTACTAATCAGAAAAACACCATGTACAGAACAAACAAGTAGTGCAGCCACTCAGCGACCACAAAAGCTCTTCAGGTCAGCCGTCCAAGCTCAGATTCAAATCCCCAGTCAGCCAAGTTGCATCCAGTTCTTTATCAAAAAGTTCTGGTGGAGGTTGTCAGATGCCTTCCAATGTAGATCCCCAATCCAGTGGCTAGCAGATGAGACAGCAGCAGAGATGGAAGAAAGACCTTGAGAAATTCTGCTGAGAAAATGCCCCCTTTCTTCATGACACTCGTGTTTCTCATGCTGAGTGTAGCTGTTCGCTTTGGGTGCTTGAACAGGAACTCCTTTGGGGGGAATGTTTTCTGGCTAACTTAACCAATCCCATATCCAATCTGAGTTTTTCTTCAAGATGCTTTCAACTTCTTTCCTTCTCTCAATATAATCCTCCTCAGACTGAGAGCTGTTCTTCTCTCCAATGCTATGTGTATCCGTTTCAGAAGCTCTGTTAATATCTTGTGGCATTTGTGAGCGAGGGGGGCTGTCACAGTGGGAACTCTTGGAGCTGCTCCGTCCAGATTCATGCTGGGCATCCAGCAGTATTTTTTCCATGTCACCATTATAAATAGAAACTGAGGCTGGAACACTGCTCCCATTCCCGTTATTGCTGAAGTGCAGCTCTACCCAGGAGCCCTGCAGGTTCTCCTCCTGCAGCCCGGGAACCCCACTCTGCGACATGGCACCGAGGCTACTCGCCCGAGCGCTCGCGCTCAGCTGTGACCGGAGTGCCCGGCTGACGATCGCTAGACAGCTGCGAGCCGCGCGCGGGCCTGCCGCCTACTCTATCTGAAGATGTAAATATTTTGCTGCTGTATACAAAAGAAAAATTGAAAGACTGCTATTATATACCTCTTTTTCTCCTGTGTTTAATTGTTTGCCCTATTTCATGGGTTCTTTCCATTCTCATTGATACAATTGTGGTCTTTTTGACCTTTCTGTAGAATATCTTTTAGTAGTTTGTGTAGGGTTGGCTTTGTCAACGTGAAATTCTTTGCTTCTTTGTCATGGAAGTATTTCACTTCTCCATTAAACTTGAAAGAGAGTTTTGTAGGGTATATCAGTTTGAGTTGGAATTTGTTTTCTTGCAAGACTTGTAGTACTTTGCTCCATGCTCTTCTTGACTTGATGGTTTGTGAAGAAAAATCTGCTGTTATTCTGATGGGTTTTCCTTTAAATGCGTTCTGTTTCTTTTCTCTAGCAGCTTTTAGTATACTGTTCTTGTGCTGAATTTCTGGGATTTTTTTTTTTTTTGTTGTTGTTGTTGTAGTAGTTTTGTATTTTAGGGAAGGGTCTACCGGGTGTTCAGGCTGTCACTACTAGATCGGACTTGTAATGATCTTCCTGTTTACAGCCTCCCAAGAGCTGGGATTATAGGCGTGCACCACCATGCCCAGTCTCAATTGCCCTTACAGGGGGTCCTTGGGGTGGGGACAGCACTGCAGGCCTGGGGATTGAACCCCTTGCCTCTGCGCCTTCTTGCAGGAGCTTTAATCTGTTGATCTATTTGACCGGCCCTTGGCATCTTGATTATTGTATGTCTAGACATGTTTTGAATTGGATTGATGTTATTTGGAGTTCTGTATGCTTTGGTTACCTGAATGTCAGATTGTTTCCCCATAATTGGGAAGTTTTCTGCTATTACATCTGCCTATATTCTTTTTTTTTCTTTTCAAAGTTTTATTGATAAAAATAAGGATTTTTTTTTTTTTGTTCCTCGCATGCCTTCAGGGCATGTTTGACCAGCGGGAGAGTTGTGAGATTCGAACTCCAGCCACCTGAGGCTGACAGCTTTGTGGAAGCAGCCACTTAAAGGACTGAGCTAGGCCCAGGCCCCCTATATTCTTTTTATACCATTTGTATTGACTCCTTCTTTCTCATTGATGCCTATTAGTCTCACGTTGTTCATCTTTGCACTCTCTTGCAGATGTTGAATTATTTTTCCTGCATCCTAGTTGTTTTTAAGAGATCTTGTCTTACCGTTTCACTAGCTGTAATGACGACTTTAAGGTCTGAAAGTCTATTTTCAGTTTCATTCAAATGGTCATGCCAGCTTGTAACTGAGGTTTTAATTTCCTGTATATCACTTTGAATCTGCTTCACGCATTATATTTCTTTCCTATCTTGCTCATTCAAGGATTCCATCATTTTTATATTCTCATCTAGTTTTTTTTTATCAGTGTCTTCTTTAGAAGCACTTAGTACTTCTTTCATTATAGTTATCATTTCTTTTTTTTTTAACTTCAGAAATTATTCCTGATCTGATTTCCTCTATACCTTTCTGCAGTTGTTTATTTATTTCAGGCTCTATTATTTCAGAGATTTCAGGTGTGTGATTTCCAATTTATTCTATGCGTTTGTCTCCTGCATTTGTTCTGGGTGGGCTCAGGGCCTGAGAATGCATTTTTCTCCTTCTCTTTGTCATTTTGTATAGCTCTGTCTTCTGACCTTTGGTGTAGAACTTTGGTACAATTATTACCTTAGCACCAGGTCCGGTCCTACTAAGTTCAAACTCAACCAGCTGGGTATGGCTTGGGTCTGGCTGCTGTGCTCCACTTCTTCCTGCTGCAGCCCTTGGAAGGGAACCCAGTGTGCCACTCTGGCAAGATGTTCTGCTTCTGGATCATCTGGGTGGGTCTTGCCTCTAACCTTTCTTCAGGGAGTTCTGCCACAGGGTTCCATACCAGGCCTGTCTGATGGAGGAAGTTACACACACACACACACACACACACACACACACTCTAGGTCTGGGTGCTGGCTGTAATGAGGATCTGGTAGGCCCCAGGTGGGCCCACTCACATGCTGGGCCTGGGTGCTGGCTGGAATCTCAGTTCAGAGCTTCTGATTTACCTGGTCTGAAACTATATCAACCATATTTCCAAATAATTTTTGAAACAAGTCTTCCAATAAGAAAAGCAATGTATCTCTCCTCTGTCCATTGGTCTGTCTGTCTGTCTCTGTTTCTGTGTCTCTCTGTCTCTGTGTCTCCCTGTCTCTGTCTTCCTCTAAATTAGCTCTAAAATAGAAAAAACAGAAGTAATGTGCCATATCAAGTGATACAATTTTTTATTCCTTCCCATGGACATAATGGATTAATTGTACTTAATTTTATTTTTTAAATTGAATTTAGTTTATTTTGAAGAGTAAAAACAAAAGCAAAGACAAATAGCAGAAACAAAGAAAGAGGGTAACATATACATATGTTACAGATTTTCAGAACAAGAATAGTTAACAATGGTTGTTTTATTTGCTATTTTCATCATCAAATCTGTTGCTCACATTAACAGATATGGTTAGCCAAAATTAAAATACAAGTGGCAGACAGGAGGGGAAACATTTACAACTGCTTGTTTGTTAATCTTCCATATTCAGAGAAATCAAAAGAAAATAGGAAACAAGTTTCTAAAGGGACACAGAATACATAAAGACAAGAAGTACAAATGCTAAATAAATCTGTGAAAAGATGTTCAACTACTCTATTGATTAAAAGAAAATGGAAATAGATAACAATAAAAGTTATTTTCCAAAACTGATTGTTTTCATATAATATATTGCTAGTATCAATTGTTGTGGAAGGTGTAATAAAATAGATACTTCATAAGTGTTGGCAGGGACAACGAACTGGTACAAACTCTTGTGAAGCTACTTAGTGTTATCTAATAAAACAGTGTTTAACATAAAAAAACCCAGATATGGTTATGCAAGATTGGACAAATAATTCAAGAAACTTTAATTATTTTTCTTTTTTGTATTTATTATAATTTTCTTTTATTTTGAAGAGTAAAAACAAAAGCAACAAAAACCAAAACAGATACAGAAGCAATGTAACATACAACAATGCATATATTACAGATTTTTGAAACAAGAATAGATGATTAACAATGAATGATATATTATCTATTTTTATCATCTAATCTATTGCTCAGATTAACAGATATAGTTATGCAAGATGGGACATATGATTGAATATTACTGTATGCTTTCAAGAAATCTTAAATTTTTGTTCCATTTATTTATTTATTTATCTTTTTCTTTTTTTCTTTTATTTTTCAAATAATTTTATTGAGAAACAAATAGCAATGAGACAGTTTCAAAGCCAATTAGTGGGAGGGTTTCAATAATTAATACATTACATATTGTTGTCTTAGTCGTTATTCATTGTACAAGATGCAGACATGATATTCTGTCCAAAAACACTATTAGAACAAACCTTTCTATTCATTGAATTAAGAGAATGCAGCTGTTTATCTATCCTATTTTGAATATACAGATACAAAATGGGCATTCATTTGTATCCTCTTTTTTGTTTAGTTTTGTTAGAGAAGGGTATTCCATTGTCAATCATCCAGCAGAAAAGTATAAATACAAAGTATAAAAAGTAAAGTCAATAAGTTGAGCTGTAAAAGGCTCAAGTCAACAACTTCTGACATTGACAGTCCTATGGAAAACCCACTACTAATATAGTCCATCCTACTGGACTATATTAGAATATTTTGCTGAATTCACTCCCCTACAATATTTAAATGACAATGAAATTTTTGTTCTTGCCTCTGTTTCTTTTATTACCTTTTTCTAAAAAAATTTGTTTTAAAGAGAGTTTAGTAATAATTGATATGACATTATAAATGGTACACATTTAGAAAACCAAGATGACAGGTATTTCAAGCATAGTTTTTTTTCCTTTCCTTTTCTTTATCAAGCATAGTTTTTGTATACACATTGCTGTCCTCAATGTAGTTGCTTAGTTGGCAATTATCTGCATACAGAGTTAGTCAAGGTAAGAATTCTGTACATTAACTGCTACTTTCATAACACTGATGGAAATTCTTAGTACAATCTCCTCAGCTATCTTGTGTACATACTTCCATGTTTTTTCCCTTCGTCTTTTCCTATCTTTTCTCATTTCTCTCCTCTTTGTTGTTGAAAGATTAAGTTCAATTTATCTCTTATTTTACTGGATCTATTATACTTTTCAGGTTTTATTTCTTTCAGATTCTTACACTAGGGAGACCGTACAATATTTACACACGTGGATCTGATTTATTTCGTTTATGAAATCAGTTGCATCCACTTGCCTATAAAAGCTTTGAGTTTGTTTTTCTTCATAGCTGAGTAATACTCCATTATATAAAAATATCACATATCTTTTATCCATTTCTCAGGTGATGAGCATTTTTTCATTTCCAAGTCTTGGCTGTGAAGAATTGTGCTGTTATAAACATGGGTGCATATGTATTGCTATGGTATGATGTTTTCAGTTGTCTTGGGAAAATACACAGAAAGGGAATAGCTGCTTTGAATTTGATTTCCAGTCCTAGTTTTTTGAGGAGTCTCCACATTGATTTCCAGAGTGGGTGTACCAGTCTCCATTGCCACCGGCAGTGGAGAGGGGTTTTCTTTTTTCCCCACAGTTTCTCCAGAATTTATTATTAGTTGATTTCTTTATGATAGCCATTCTTTCTTGGGCGAGATGGTACCTCAGTGTTGTTCTAATTGGCATTCCTCAAATGGCCAGTGCTGTGGAGCACTTCTTCACATATTTATTTGCCCCTTGTATTGCTTTTTCTGAGGAGTGTGTTTTCATCTCAGATGCCATTTTTGGATTGAGTCTTTAAGTTTTGGGAGCTTAATTTGTTTAGTTCTATATATATTCTAGATAGAAGATCTTTGAGGGAATATTGGTTAAGATTTTTTTCCCAATTTGTGGATTGACTTTTTACTTTGTTGGTTCGCTCTTTCTTTCTTGCTTTCATTCATTCTTTC